CCCCAAAACCCCAAAACCCCAAAACCCCAAAACCCCAAAACCCCTTTGTCATATCTTTTTATTGAAAAATCTTCATAAACATCTGTATAAAGAATTACTAAATTGAAGATTTGAGGCTTTCGAGATATTCTTCAACTCTATAATTTTCAAGAATATCTGGGAGAGCTAATGATCTCCCTTTCATCTCAAAAGCAGCGCTTCAAGCCATTCTAGTTATTACTGAGCCAGCTACAGCTGCAAGAAGTAGAGGATTTTCTTCTTTAGTGAAACTTTCGAGCACAGTTTCCTCATTTTCTTTAACAAGCTTTGCATAATATGCATATGTTCCAATTGTGCCTGCTAGTACATCTCCTTGGCCTCCACATCTCTTTAGGCTACCTTTAGTTTTAACATAGAAGACTCTGTTGCCATCAGAGATAATGTCGACCAGCCCTTTCTACAAAATTTAAGCAAATAACTTACCTTCAGGATAGTTGCTCCATTCAAAGAGTTGGCAACTCTCGTAACATCCTGTGAGATGCTGAGTGATAAGTCTAACTCTCCAATATCTTCAGAAAGACTTTCATAGAGGTCAATTAAGGAGTATTCGGGGTCATAATCCTCAGAATACAAGGAGTTCCAGATTCTCTTAAACTCCATAATGTTAGGAGTCAAGATTGTCCTCTCAGGAATCCTCAGAGCTTCATCAGGGGAAGTATACAAGTCCATTACTATTTTTGAAGATTTCCTATAGGAAGATTATTGATGAATCTTGACGATTTCCTATCCAAGTGTGTGAAATTAAGATACCATGGGAAAGATCTTACAAATAATGGCAAAAATCTGCATCTCCTACAAGCATCATATTAGTCTCAGCAGCGTGGGTCATCAATTGTTTGAGCATGATGGGATCGTTTTTCTGTTTCATCTCACCATCAATACCAAGGCCTCAACCCATTACAAGAGTATGATAGAACTTAAGTTTGCTTTTTAAGGTATCTATTTTCTCTTGGCTTTCATCTTTTGAGAAATCAATTTCATCATAAGGAGTGACTATCAATTCTGGAGAGTATCCTTTAATAATTGGGCTAGCCTCAGCTGTAGCAAGAACCTTACCTAAAGATTATAAAAGAAAAATACATAAGTCTCCACCAGCTCTAATTGAAGAGATTGCAGCATAAAATGGAGCTCCTGTGTAATCTTTACTGCCTCCAAGAACAACTAGTTTACCACTTTGTCCTTTATGGCCTACACCGCCTAGCTTAGGGAATAATTTCAGAATGTCCCTGACCAAAGAAGACCTAGTAGCTTTGGTTGCAAAAGTCTCCATATTCTCAAAAAATAATAACTAGCCCGGGGTTTTGGGGTTTTGGGGTTTTGGGGTTTTGGGG